AATTTTTTAGATAAAAATTTGTACCGATGAAGGGCACTGGAACCCCACGGGCTAAGGATTTCGACTCCATAGGCCGTAAATGGGTAGTCAGACCCGAGATCCTGGTACTTATTACTTTTAATTCTTTCCGCCAGCTCAGCTGCGGGGCCAGCCCTCTTGCTGGTGTGCTGGAGATGGGATGAGGCAAGTGTGTCGGCACATGTGGCATCCCACACCAGTGCCCGGCCCATACTCCAAGGGATGAGAGTCATTCCATCCGGGCGTTTGCCATCTGTTCGCGACATTCCGCTTGGTTCGAGTATAGCGGGCACGTTGGTTAGTGCTAACAGTAACAGTGGCTAAGGCCCGGCGGATGATGTCATTGAGGGCTGCATGCCGGGAGATATGACCGCCGCCCAGCTGGCAGGAAAGATCGTAGTGACCCAGAGAACTTACGTCTTTGCCGCAAGGACATCGACGAGGGGAGCAAACTGGGACACCAAGGCGAAGGCCTGTAGCTATGCGAATAGTCTCGGCGCTCAGGAAGATACCGGTACTGGCAGAGGGGAAAGCGTGTAGCCAGTGGCCAGATTCCCACCTGGACGCCGCTTCCAGATGCACTCGGTCTACTGGGGTGCAATGATTCATTAAGTCATTTAAAGTCTTTTTGCGCAGAATATTATCCCAGCTCCTTTAAATTTTTGGGGTCGAATGGAGAATTTTTGTTGGGGCAAGCCTGGTTCCAGGCATTTCTGGACTCAATTAACCACGTCACCTCGCAGTTTGTTGGCGGAAGCCTTAGGATACTGCCTACGAGGTTGACCGTGCTGTAGATTGAGGACAAAAAGGCCGGAAGGGCGAAGGCTGGTATATTCCTGATGCCTTGGCCACCATGTCTGATGAGGAGGGTAGCTTAGGTCCAGGTATTATGGGTGAGATGGACGTTGAGATTGGATTGACGAAAAGCTTTTAGGTCAGAATCTATTGACAACAACAGATCACGGAATTTCCAAGCCGGACAACAGCGAAGTACTTATGTAAATTTAGGAACGAAAAGGCAATATTTTAAAATACAGATGGCGTAATGGGTGCCTGGACTCAGGAGTCTATCTGTACAGAGTTGAACTTTGATAATGAATTTTGGAAAAAGGCTGGAATTGCGTCATCGAATATATTATACCGACGAAGCTTGGATTCGTCGGTGAGTTTAAAATTATTGTGAAAGAAGGACTTTAATCTGTAGAAGTCGTGGTAATCTCATGGTTCGTATCCGGACTCGCCCCTTGAGTCCCGGAATCTATATGCGAAATTAAATTTCAATTTTAATTTCAACTATCTCTGTGGCCGACCGGTTACCATGCCATTGATTGCCATGCAGAGGTTCCGGATTCGATTTCCGGGCCGGGAGAAATATTTATATGACCAATATTTTTATTTCTCTCGTGAGTTTAGGTGTAATTTGTGGTTGTTATGTGTCCATGGTACCCGCGATACAGGGTTTCCCTGGTGCGGGGCTATGAGTGTGTGCGTTATTATTATTTGAGACTCGTGCTCAACGTGCGTTGTAACTTGCAATAATAGATTATTGGACTTTCATTTCAACGACATGTCAACAAGGTAAAGTTTAAATTAATTAAATTAACAGTACACAGTTTGATATTTCTTTTTTAAATTGTTAAGTACGACCAATCATTATCAAGATTTCATAGTGTTTCAAATTAAAAATATGTGAGTTTTGGCGACACTCACGGTACTTCCATTGTTTTTTCCTTCCGTGCCCTGCCAGATACGGCTTTATTGTACGAAGGCTTCGATACATTATTATCATTTCAAAATTAAAAGTTAGTTAGTTACCAATTTTAAAAGATTTTATTACAGGAGCTTTTGTTTTATAATCATAAATTTTACTAACAAAAATTGCATTGAAATCATTGTCATAAGTTTCGTAAACTTGCTGAGTGCCTAGAAATTACCTACGCCTTTAACTCCCACCAACTTCGATTTCTTATCTCCAGTGACGAATAAAATTGCCCTTACATAGTTGCTATGGGTAGTAACCGGCCATTTGTTAGTAGTTTTATTGTTATAGCACAAAAGTGTGGATAAGATATTGTGATAAAGTGCGATTGAAAACGTTGGTGTACCTGCAGCTGCTCAAACTGAGTTCAAATGTGTTGTTTTATTACATAAACCAAACTTGGTATGTAATTAAGACTACATAAGTAAATAACAATTTTTTTGTACTACCAAATGATGGTAGTACGCGACACGCCTGTCCATAACAGTTGCAGTGCCACTCAGAGCTTTAAATCGCAATGATCTTATACGCACTGCCACTGCGCCCGTCACCCGGAGACATAAGTTGACAAGTCCCATGTTACTTTTTAAATTTCACCAGCATCCAACCGGAACGCACTAATCCTCACATTATTTCATGTTTCGGAAGGGTAAGGGTGTTGGAGGAATTACAGGCACATGGGACTCGTCAAGCCCATAAAATCTTTGCGATTTAAAAGCCCTGAGTGGCCCTGCAACTGTTATGGATAGGCGTAGGACTTCTCCGTCCAGTCAAAGTGACTGGATTATAAAAAAAGGCTTTGACAAACAAGCAAAGAAGATCATGCCGTAGATCCTAAACTGTAAATAAACGTGAAGCAGGATCTGCCGTTTCTCTACTCAACATTCAAGGTCACACGTGAGATGACTGAGATGATTTTACTGCGTCAATATAACCACTACGGAAGTAATTGCTTTTGTTAGAGCATTTAAATTGTATAGATTTTGTGGGAATTTCTGACGAAAACTGGCATTCTTGGTGTTGTTTCGTGGTAATTTTATTTAAATTATTAAAAAGTAGGTTTATCTCAATATGTAGTTGTACAAGGAAGTAGGTAACTTAAACTAAGATCATTACAAACAAGGGCTTTCATCCTTGGTATCTTTATTATACTCAAAAGACTAAAAAAATCTGAAAATGTTGTTGGTCTTTGTTATTATTGTTATAATGTGGATTATATGACATAAGTATGTCTCATATAATATTATATAATACTTTAATATAATACTATACTATACGATTTAATTCCGCCTTCCACTTTCCATCACCGGGAGACTTGGCGTAGGCTTGGGTTCCACCCCTATGTTGTGGATATTCCAAAGATTCGCACGAAGCGTTATGCTTCCGCATTTATATGGCGAACGGCTATAGAGTGGAATTCCCTGCCTGCAGACTTGTTCCCTGAACGTTATAACTTGGACCTTTTCAAGGCGAGAGTGAATAGGCATTATTTAGGTGTGTATGCTTCATCGTCGACCTCATCGTCACTTTCCATCAGGTGAGATGGAGGTCAAATGCGCACTTATAATTAAAAAAAACTATGTATGTATGTAAGTCGTGGACTTTGCCATTCAGAGCTTTATAACGTAACCTGTGTTTTAAAATTGTGTGTTTAAAACTACGCCTGTAACCCTGTGACATAAGTTAACAAGTCCCATTTGCCTGTAATTTCACCAGCACACTTCCTGTTCTGTGTGCCTGGTAAGCATCATGTCTGTCTATAACAGTTCCAGGGCCACTCAGAGCCTTAAACCTGTCACTCTGTGACGTAAGTTGAAATAAGTCACTTCTTCTTGGGTTTTCTCTCTATTGGACAACATCAAGACAATCCCGACTTTAGAAGCTGCCGCTCTAAAGAGCGGGGTGGTACTAATAAGTGGTGACAAGTCTCATATGTCCGTAATTCATCATCCTTCCAAACTGGAAAGCAATAATGCTCGCATTACTGCTTCGCGGCAGAAATAGGTAAAACGGCCCATTCACTACCTGGATGGCAGTCCGCCGCGCAGGCAGGAGACTGCTCACACACTATCCTGCACATGGTTCACGTATAGAGTCTCGCAGGACGCATTACAGGATTGCAGCATGGCCTGCACGCAGCGACTACATTCATAATCCACTTCATACAGTACTTCCTTGGACGAACGTTTTCACAAGGACCTCTACCGCTGCTAGCTCGTCTGCTGATTCCTACAACCTTCACCAGATCATTGGTCAACTTTCACACCATACTCTATAATAATACTTAATCCTATATAACCCTAAAGTAATAAAACCTTTATAGCCATCTATACAAGTTTCAGTACTAAACACGGCCTATAAATCATAACAGGTAAATTTATACGACAACACAGAAGTTTTCTCTCCTTCAAGAAAGTTCAGACCCTCATAGCCATATACGGTACCGCAAGATAAACGTATAGGACTGTCCAGACCATAACCTACGTCGTGGCTGTGGCTGTGGCCGGCCACTTTCCCCCGATCGCCAGATAACATCGCCCATCTTCATTGATAACCTGTGAGAGACACAGATTATTGACGCAGACGTTGAGATAGGCATAAACTGTTATATAGTAGATTATGTATTCTCCTTTTGGTCAGGTGTGAACACGTAGTATTGTCTTGAGAAAATTATTAGTTTTTCTTTGTACGAAAGTTTCAACAATGAGTCTGTTTTGACAATTTGAACGATATTAATTTTACCATTAAAATGTAAGAGAAAATATGTATCAAGGAAAATATTATAAATAAATAAATAATAAATAACGCACACACTCAACATAGCCCCGCCCTAGGGAAACCCTGTGTCGCGGGTGCCATGGACACACACATAGACAACCACAAATTACACCCAAACTCACGAGAGATATAATTGTAAGCCATACAACTATTTCTCTCGGCCCGGGAATCGAACCTGGGACCTCTGCGTGGCAGTCCGGCATGGTAACCGTTCGGCCACGGAGACAGTTAATAAAGCTAATGTCTTCAAATAAATTATGAAACAAGATAATGCTCCTGTCATCGAAACAATGCATGTATCACCAAGTAATAGGCGCTAATACCTGCCTACAAACATCGTATCTAGACATGCCTATTCGTTGTCTCTGCAAAGCGCGACCGCTTTCCACGGTGCGCTTGCGCCGCTCAACATAACGGGGCGACGGATCGACACGCGCGCACGCTCCCGCGCCGCCTCCGCGTTCCTTCACACGCGAGTGCACTGCAGTGACCAAAAATACTTTTAAAAAGTTACTCCATTCTGTTCTAAACTAAAGAATAAAAGTTTTCTGTGACTGTGAACGGTGGCTAGTGGATGTTCGATTTGATCTAGTGTTGTTTTAAATACAGTTTGATCGAGTTTAGTGTTGAAATCGAGCAAAGCAGGTGAGTGCAGTTATGTTTGCGGTTTCAGACGTAGTTCTTGGCGATTTGTGTTCTATTCGGTTTCTATGATTCTTTGGTTCGTTTTCTGTTAAAACATAAAAGGCTCTTCCAACTATTTTTTTTTAGTTATTATGCATAACAAAAGTAACTAACAATTCGTCTGAAAGTTACAAAAAACTTTTTTAATTTTATAACATCGTACGATGAAATCAATTCCTTCATTAAACAAAAAAAAAATCGCTATTTTTGACATTTAAACTTATCTTCAGACTCTATCTACTATCGCTATTTCCCGAAAGTTGTCTTTTTAATTTAGTGACGATATTGAATTCATTGACATTTGATTTGTTTATCTTAGAATCCGTAGTAGCAAGTGAATTAAATAAACAAACTATAAGTTTTTAAATATTATGTTAGTTACTATGTATTGTGGTAACCTTCCAAGTTAAACTGTCTTCTGAACAAAGGTTATATGATAAATTTCCCGCGCTTTTCATTACTCTAATGTACCTACTTCTACTCGATATCTTCCCTTACTCAAAAACGTTATTCGCTTTTGTACATGTAGCGCAAATTTAACAAAATTGTACATAAGTCTAAATGACAAATAGACCAACTGATAACAGTTATTAATTAAAAAATCTGTTATTTATTCTATAACCTCACAAATTGTGTGTTCAATTAAAACTACCAATTAAATTGCCCCCATTGCCAAATTAGCAGTTCTAAACATTGGCCCGCGCCGGCGTCAGTCGCCACATAGTGTGTGGACAGGTGCGCCTGCGCACAGCAAACAATCTCTTACGATCTAACTCACCAATTGAATTCCCTTCGAAACTGTTTGTCGTAAAACTAAAGTTAGTTTATAGTTATAGAACTATTTAGTTAGAAATCGTTTCCTATGTTGTTAATAGATTTAACTAGCTATAAACCGAATGTTAAGTACTTGTTAAAGGCTAGAGTTACTTCTTTTTAATTAACTTTACGCTTGCGTGAAAGAGTTCACATAATTGGAGGTTCAAATTCTTCAATTGCTCGGTTTAAATTGATCTTTAAACTAGTATGCAATCGTCTTTCAAATTTCAATCTTCATCTCTAGATCGACTTTGAGATCGCTCGTAAACTCGATAAAGGTATTACTATAATTTGCAGTTAGATTAGTCTCACTTCTTGAGATTGTACTCAATCCAAGAGCTACGTTCCACTGTACAGTGGGTCGAAGGATATACGTCACAACAATTGCGTCATAATGTAAACTGTATATTTACAATAGTAAATAATAAATTTAGTAGCAGTAGGGCTCCTTGTGAAAGAGTTTTTCCAGGGAAGTAGGTACATCCACCTTACCTTATTCTACCGCTAAGAAGTGCCCTAAGTGGCACTGCTTAGCATCAGGCGCACGACTCGTTCGTCCCATCATTTAGTATTATAAAAAGCAACTAGTTACTACGTCATCTTTGACACTATAATACTCTCGCACTAGTCCCGGGAATTTTCGGTTCCGGAAGTACCGGGAAATCTCGGCACTGGCGAGGTGCAATCAGTCCCGGTACCGTGATTATAGATTCCCCGTGTGCCCGGTTACAGCAAGGAAACTACCTACCCACTGAGCTATGAATAACATCACCCGTTGGCAACTTCGCACTGGCGCACGTTACTGCCATTATAATGCTACTTAAACTTATTATTTAACTACAATGTGATTTTACTATATTATGTTATGTTGAATTTCACAGTAATTATCTCTCAAAAAGATATTTGGAAAAATAACCTTTAATTTGAGAATGAAGTTTTTTGGTTAACTAAATTTTTGGACCTGTTCTGTTTTTATTTATTTTAATGTGTCTTTATTTTTCTTTCACAAAATTCTGGGAAAAATAACAGAAAATAACCAAAAAATAAAGTTGGCGTTCATTGGAGATATGGTTTATGGTATTACGTTAATTCTTGAAAAGGTATGGATTACCTTGAAAAAGCATACTTACTGGTTAAAGTTTAAACTTTTCAATAAGTACCGGCAATACCGGGAGTACCGGTACTGAGTTGAACACAGCACTGGGAATTTTAGGAACCGGACCCGTTTTGACCCGATTCTGTGTAATGCCTACATGAAGATGATGATGAGGAGGTTCACGGGTGCTGTAACAGGTTTCAGTTATAAAAATAATATTTGCCTTTCTTTTATTGTACATACAGCTGCGCAACATCGAAACTAAACAATTGTAAGTAAAGTAATTGCGACATCGATTAAATACTCATAAGATATAGTTACCTCACGTTACATTAATTACCAATATGAGAATTTTAATTGGCTTTGTGACAAAAGATACATTTTTTGCCTTGTGAAAATGTTATTGACAAGGTATTATTTGTTTCTGTTGTTGTTGTTTTCAATTTATTACCTATTAGTTATTAAATTGGATAGAAATAAAATGTAAACATACTCTGATCGACACAGTGACCATGGCCGATGTACTCTAAACCCAGTGGTATGAGTAAGTTGATGCCACACAGTTGATGGCCATCAGAGCTGTTTGAACGCAGTAAAGTGCATACAAAAAAAAAGAATATATTAAATACATACTATATCCAATTAACAAATGCTTCGACCATCAGCAGTGTCCTCAGAGCTGCAAAACGTGGCTCATGTAATAATGTCCCATGTGCCCGTAATTTCACCAGCACCCATGTAATGCACAGTAATGCTGACGTTACTGCTTGGCAGTAGAAATAGGTAAGATGGCAGTACTACCCTGGACGAACTCTTTCACAAGAAACTCCATTGCTACTAAAATACTAAAAGTACTAAAAATACCGACCTCAAAAATTCGTGGAATTATAACTATTTGCCCAGTTATATTGACATCGTGTACCGTTTCCCACAAAAAAAGAATCATCTAAATCGGTTCACAAATGCCAAAAGTTATCGCGTAACATACACACAAAAAAATACAGTCGAATTGAGGACCTCCTCCTTCTTTTGAAGTTGGTTAAAAAACGGAGTAGGTTTGTAGTTATTACCTATGCAATACTTTGTTTGCAATAAAAAAAAATTAAAATAAAGAATAACATTTTTCTAACTGTATAAATGAAGCTTTAATAAACGCTTTACTGGGTTATATGCCCACTGTTTAAACTAACCATGCGTTTGACTTAAACTCCGTTAACCCGCAACTTAGTGGCAATCTCAGCAGCTAAGTTACATCCAAGTTAAGAGCTGCTTAGTTCACTTAGCACGCGGCGACTTCCGCCGGGTTACGACCGTCCAACTTAACTGTAAGTTCAAAATGCTTTTAAAAAACCATTACTACGTAGTCAAAGGGAATGCTAATTCTGTTGGAAAGGTAATTACGGTTAAGGAATAATACGAGACATTTTTTAACTCTACTTGTGCAAATTTTAGTTAAATGAAGCGTATTACATGCGGCGTTTCATAAGCACGCTCAGTTTCACTCATGTTGGGTGAAGACACGACACTTTAACAGAATGTTCTGTTGGTTATTAATGTATGATATTAAAGTTCATCCAGGGAAGTACTGCCACCTTACGTATTTCTGCCGCCAAGCAGTAATGTGAGCATTACTGCGTTCCGGTTTTGAAGGGTAAGGGTGCTTGTGAAATCACACGCACATGGGACTTTCAACTTATGCCTCAGGGTGATTCAGGCACTGCGCCTCAGATCTTTGCGATTTAAAGCTCTGAGTCGTACTGCAACTGTTATGGACAGGCGTGTCCTTTACCATCAGATGCACGACTTGTTCGTCCGTATCATTAAAAAGACTATATATAAATTTAAAAAATTTAAATAGATAGGCTGCATGGTCTAAAGATCTTTGCCTGTCCGCAAGGAAAAGTCCATGATACAACATCAATAATTTCAACAACTCGACTATATTTTTTTCTTTTACTTAATTTGTTTTTCTGTTTAGTAATATAATAATCATAAATTGTTAGCGGAAGGCCTCTGGGTTAAAGAAAAATGAAATGTATTGTGCAACTAATAGCGACTTTGCCAGAGGCTTTACGTTAATTCCCCAGTTCAATATTGTCTGCCTCCCTAGCTCATTCCTAATAGGTATAGACTGTCAGGTCTGTCCACGGTACTACGGTACTGATACTCTTTGACAAAATTCATCATTAAAGCAAAAATCTATCACTATTGATCATTGACTTAGAATTATATGGACGTCGGGTCCGCGCTAAAAAGTGTCCGAACTTATAGGGCGTTAAAATCGTATACAGAGCTTCATTCACGATTTAGTCTTCGTTTGTTTCTTCTGACAGCGAAGCAAGCAAAATTAGACAGTACTGCGATGACATTACAATTTAAATTCAACGTTTTAGCTATTTCATATTCCTTTACATGTCACTACGTTTAAATAAGTTGACTTGGGACATTGTTTTCGTGGTTTTTGTATTAGACCCGTCGTCCATTTATTTGTAAGTCAATGCTATTGATAGTATTTTGTTTGGAATATGTTGTTGCTGTAAATGTCTGGTTTATAGATTGAATTCGTTGTTTATTTTCTAAACAAGAATTCTAATTGTGAAATTAAAGATATTGTTGTCGTTAATTGAAATTTGGGAGAAGATGCTTTGGGTTAGTAACCGACTTTAATCGAGTAAGTCCAGCAAAAGTGTGCTGAGAAGTAAGTTTAAAGAAATAAACATTTTTACACTGGCGACATAATGTACTTATGTTAAACATAACTCTATAATTCTAGAATTTCAAAGGAAGGTATTACGCAGTCTATGTATGTCTTTAAAGTTTAGGCCATAGTATTCCAAAGTTGTCCAAAAGAGGCGGTAGGGGTTTCGGAAGCAATTGGGGGAGTTGATGCTGTCCAGGGCGTGCTACCGCATTTGAAAATAAAAACATTAATTATCTTATAAACTACCTACGCTACAAATATATTTTTTTTGTTATAATTTTTTGTGTTAAATTAATATAAAAACACGCGTTTTCTATTATTTTTTTGTGGTGGTGAGTGTTGAAATTT